TCGCAGCACAGTAATTAGACCCCGCCCCGCTGGAAAGTACGCGCGGAGCGCCCAGGAGCTCGAGCCCTGCGCCTGCGCCACCGCGGCCCCTGCCCCCTACGCGCGAGTCGGCTGAGGGCGCGCGAGGAGCAGAGTGCCCAGGAGCCGGAGCTCTGCGCCTGCGCCGCTGCGGCCATGCACCCAACGCGCTAGTCCGCCGAGGCCGCGCGAGGAAGCCTCGTACCTGGGGGAGGGGTGCGGCCTGCGGGGGGAAGGACTCGGGGATGGCACCTCCCGCGACGGGCTCCAGCTCCACCCCCCACCCCCCGGCGCAGAATGCGTCTCCCACGGGGAGGACTGACTGGTCCCTGCAGCTTCGGAAGGTTAGACAGTTTTACCCTAACGTCTAGGCCGCTTTCCTTGGCTCCCAACGTACTTTCCAGTAAAATAGACCGAGCCGACGCAGTTGCTCCAGGCCGACCGGGCGACTGGGCTCCGGTCGGTGGGGTTTCCTTGGGTCGTCCGGGGACTCGTCCATGTACCACGCTTCCACCATTTCCCCGGAAGGCTGCAGTTCAAACCCCAGAGACGACTGGGCGGCTGGAGGGTGTTGACCGCGCCCTTATATCCATCCTGCGCGGAGCAGCCCCGCCCAGGTGCTCCGACTGGCTCCTCCCCCGGCGCGAACGCCGCCCTCCGGGCAATTCAATAAGGTGCAGTTTGCGAGGGTGCTGAGACGCGGGGTTTCCCCGGATCAGGTTGGGTGGTGGATTTGAACCCACTGCCTTCCCCACTGTGCCTCCACTCTCCCCACTGTACCACCTCGGTGGCGGAGCAAGTAAATGCTTTTGTTATTTGGTGCTGTTCTCCTCAGAGACCTTTACAGTCTCTTTTCTGCTCCCATCAGCAGTTACAGCCCTGCCCTATCGGGTTACTGTGAACAGGCATCAACTCAGTGGCAGTGAGCAACCTTGTCTAGGGGGGATATGATATCCACTCGGTGGCAATGGGCTTATCAAGGGGCCCGCGGCGCAGTGGGTTAAGCATTCAACACTTGGAACCCAATAGCCCCTTTGAGGAAGAATGTGATGAAATAATGCACTTTTAAAACAATTTTTTTTAACTAAATATAGTTTTATTTTATTATTTTAAAAAAAATTAAGCCTTTTTTTAGGGCCTCATACAACTCTTATCAAAATCCATACATACATCAATTGTGTAAAGCACATTTGTGCATTCATGGACTTCTTTAAAGATTTAAAGCCTCCATGGAGCATTTGCTCCCTAGAGTCAGGATGGACTCATTTTAGAATTGGATTTAGTTTGGTTTACCACCTTTAGACGTCCCTGTGGTGTAGAGGTTATGTACTGTGGTTTGAATCCATAGGCCACTATAGGAAAACAATGTGGCAGCCTGCTTCCAAAAGAGATTGTACAACCTTGGGAACTTTGTGATGAGTTCTTACTAAACAACTCACCATCCTTAAGTTGATACCAACTCAATAGTTGACCCCACAGGACAGGGTAGAACTGCTCCTGTGAGTTTCCAAGACCGTCACTCTGAATGGATGTAGAAAGCCCAGTCTTTCTCCCAGAGAAGCTGCTGGTTCCCAAACTGCTCACCTTCGCCTTGCAGTCCAACTCACAACCTCTGTGCTACCAGGGCCCGTCCCACTGGTGATTGTCCTCTCTCCTCTACAGGCTCCATTAAGACCATGAATAGCTTTGAACCAGTTTACCATCTTTAACGTTCAGAACAGTATTGTGAGACTTTCTGCTTTACCATCGAGAAAGTGCCAATATAAATTATATGATTTTATTAAACTCATGCAGCCAATAAGGACAATCGCTGTAGTTCAAAGCCAGTTCCTGTCACCACATGGGACTTTGCTAACCAAGTATTGCTCAAATATTTCCTTGTCTGTTGCCCTCCCCAGGCCCAATCCCTTTTACTCTGGATTTTGAGTTTAAAAGTTTTCTGTAAAATGTTAAACTGCCTATTTCCTCTTTTTTTCTCCATCATTTTGCCCGATATAATGTTATATTTTAGAATTTAAAAAATTTTCCCTTTTTCATTTGGGAAATTAGAATTTCTTACTAATTTAGTTCTTTGAGGGCAGAGGTATGGGGGAGAGAAGGGAGAGAAACCAGCTGCTATGTCCTTAGGGGTGTAGCTTTCTTATAAGCAAGGGCCCTGGGGTCCACCCTGTCTCTCCCCTCTACAGTCCTGCCTGCCCCTCTACAGTTTCTGCCATGAATCAGGAGAGCTGCCAGAGCACTGCCCTATTTCCACTGACTTGGGTCCACAGGACCGTGCACCCACCAGCCAGCGATCTTCCTGCATCACTGCATGTCGCTGCCCGAGTCTGAGAGGGACTTGTGCACTAGTATCAGACTTATGGACTTGGGCTGGACTGGCCCGATCTGTAATTACTTCTTGTTATAAAGCTCTTTCTTATACAAATATGAATGTCACTGGATTTGTTTTTCTAGTTAACCCAGCCTAAGGCAGTAGAATTACATTATCCAAGTGCCTTTAAGGTATCTATGAAAACAACTCCGGCATGAAGAAACCAGAGAAGCCCTACCAACAAGAGGACACCAGGAGTGTGAAGGTAAAATATGAATCACCAAGAAACCAGCCCCGGAACAATAGTGTTTGCGGCAGGGAATGGAGTCGAACAGCTCTGTGGATCTTAACTGAAAAACGTCATTTTAACCAAAAGACAATGAAAAGTGATAATCCATTGCCATGGAGTTGATTCCACTCATAGCAACTCTGTTAGGGTTTCTGAAGCTATGGATCTTTACAGGAACAAACAGCCTCAACTTTTTCCCAAGGAATGGCTGGTGAGTTTAATGTGACCGCACAGCCAGCAGCAGCCCAATGTATAACACGGCAGCAGGGCTCGGTGGGAAAAGTGACTATCACTTTTTATTTCTTCAAAATAGACATGTTTCATTTATAATGGCCATTTAGAAATTAAGCCATAAAAGAAAAACCAAAAATCAGTAGATAAGCACCAAGTTTAATTATGGAGATAAAATAAAAAGAGAATCCTGGGATAATTATAATCTTGATTCTTGCTCCTATTTTAATTCTAAGATACAGAAATAGCTTACTTAAATATCTAATGTTTGAGTTTCCTCTGTGCAACAGGAAAATAATTCCCAAAAGTACTGTGGAGATGATGAAGCATTCGTTTTAACATAAACCAGGTTAAACACATACTTAAAAGCAAACTGCCCTTCTAAAACAGGTTGATCTGGTGTTTTATGTAACAAAATTAGGGTGAACTGTACCCCAGAACTGTGAAGTAGAAAGATAATAATTTTTTGTTAAAGTTTAAAGCCTTGATTGTGAAAGAGATATTTGATAGGAGATAAATATAATCTAGAAATCTTTTTAAAACATCATTTTATTAGGGGCTCATACCACTCTTATCACAACCCATACATACATCAATTGTGTAAGCACATTTGTACATTCATTGCCCTCATCATTCTCAAAACATCCGCTCTCTACCCAAGCCCCTGGCATTAGCTCATCTTTTCCCCTTCCTCCCTGATCCCCACTCCCTCATGAACCCTTGATAATTTATACATTATGATTATTTTGTCATGTCTTACACTGTCCGATGTCTCCCTTCACCCACTTTTCTGTTGTCCGTCCCCCAGGGAGGAGGTTATATGTAGCTCCTTGTAATTGGTTCCTCCTTTCCAACCCACCCTCTCTAAAAGTCTTTTGACAAAAAAATACTTACAGCTCTTTTTTACTGAGTGAAGGTTATAGCAAATCAATTTTCCATTCAGCAATGTATACACATTTTGTTTCCTGCCACTGTTTGCAATCCCCACAATGCACATCCTTCATTCTCATTCCAGGTCCTCCCTGTGTCCTTCCCTCTTAGGAGTCAGAACTGACTCAATGGCGGTGAGTTGGTTTCTTTACTTTTATTTCTTCACCTTTCCTGCCTTCTGAACTTTGTCCCTGATGAAATGCTCCCTGTTTGGTCTCAGATTGTTATGCTACAGAGTATATATCAGGTTTGGGCTACTGGTCTCCTTATACAATGACTATTTGGCTGAAGAATTAAGTCACAAGGGTAAGCTCACTTCTGGGTCTGAGGGTAACTCATAGCATAGTCTTGGGGTTCCACCAGTAATTTTTAGTTTCACATTTTTCTCACACTGTATTCAAGACCTTTTCATGTCATCTCTTCCACAAAGATCAATAGTGGTAGTTGGGCACCATCTAGTTCTTCTGCTCTCAAGATTGTGAAGCCTGTGGTGTATGTTATAACAGATATTATTTAAATTATATACATATACCATTGCAAAAAAGATCTAAAGGGGGAATTTTAGGGAACGAGATAAAAATACTCCTTGAGACTTCAAAACATTCATATAAATATGGAATTAAAATAAAATTTTTTCGGTGAATTTTATGAAGCCCTCTGGTATACATCTGAATATAAGATAATGCCACCCATTATGGGTTTGAGTAAATTAAGACCACAACAATGTCCAAATCCGATTATGTGAAGCCTTTATTATAGCAGGCTAGCCTGGACTGCAGAGGGGACATTAAAAGGTACAGTCTCCCATGCTGCAGGTCCAGTGTTTCTTTGGCTGAGCCTTTTACAGTATACAGGAAGCAAGCAGGGTACAGAAAGCAGAAAGGGCATGTTAAAAATTCATATATCTTTAAGTAAGCAATATTGACAGAGCAAAAATAAAATGGATTTAAGCAAAGTTCTTAGGCAGCCTGTTTTATGACTCTTCCCTGGATCTTGTCTTTAGTTAAGCATCCCTGTGAAAGAAAAAATGAACACACCTGCTCTGGGGAGAATGACTTACTGGTCGTCTCTGATAAGGAAAAGTTTAAACAAGCTTTGCCCTAAGGACATTTACTGGTCGGGCATTCCATTCAAGTGATGATAAAACACAGGTGGCATTAGACAGAAAAAAGGCCAAGTTCAATGGTGAGGCTTGTCCAAAAGATGGGGGCAGGCACTGGAGATCCCCTTGCAGAGGGGTCTCGGAGAGGAGATGAGCTAGTCAGGGTGCGATGTAACAATGATGAGAAATACAACTTTCCTCTAGTTCCTAAATGTTTCCTCCCCGCTCCCACTACCATGACTCGAATTCGATCTTGCAAGTCTGGCTAGACCAGAGGAGGTACACTGGTACAGATAGGAACTGAAAATACAGGGAATCCAGGACGGATGAGCCCTATAGGACCAGTGGTGTGAGTGGCAAAACAGGGAGGGTAAAGGGAGAATGGGTAGGAAAGAGGGAACCGATTACATGGAACTGTGTGTGACCTCCTCCCTGGGGGACAGACAACCGAAAAGTGGATGAAGGGAGACGTCGGACAGGGCAAGATATGACAAAATACCCATTTATAAACTATCAAGGGCTCATGCGGGAGGGGGGAGCGGGAAGGGAGGGGAAAAATGAGGACCTAATGTCGGGGGTTTAAATGGAGAGAAAATGTTTTGAGAAACGATGTACAAATGCGCTTTACACAATTGATGTGTGTATGGATTGCGATAACAGTTGTGTGAGCCCCTAATAAAATGTTATTAAAAAAAAAGACATAAA